GGGGCGCCCCGGCGTTTTTTGCGCCGCAGCGGCCACTCACGTTCGCGGCGGACGCAGAGCCCTGCCGCCCCAACTCGCGGATGACGCCGCGCTCCTCTTTTTGTCGCACTTGTTAGGACAGATTACTAATGGGACTAGGAGGGTGCTGAAAACGCAGTGACCGGCGAAAGACTGTAGCGGCGCAATATCCAACCGCACATTGTCTGGGTCATGGACTAGCAGTACGTCCGGCTCGGGCGGTAGCGCCATCTGCAATACGGCGGCGCCCCGTAACAGGCGTTTGTTTGGGCAGGCCCGAGGGGCCGGGGGGCGCGTGGTGGCGGGGGCGCGGGTGCGCGTGTCGTTCAATGGCCCTAATGACGTTAGCTGACTCTCTCTATCAAGGAAGAACGTCTCAGAGAAATGGCGTCAATCAGGTCGATGAGCGCGCCTCGCGTCGGTATAAAGGTCCGTCTACGTCAATGAACTGTGGCCGACTACTGGCGAGTAATTATGAGTTTTGTCGTGGGAGTGGCGCGGGTGAGATACTTTTTACGAAGCGTGTCGGTACGGCCGTCCACGGGTTGGCCGGGCTTGTCGCGGGCGGCGGTCTATCTGCAAATGCTGGGGGGGGGGGGGCAGGGGATGCCGCCGTTACGGCGCCTGGCTGCCATACGCTGACAGTGTTTGAGCAACCCTCCCGACCCGCGCTGTCCCGTTGTTTGGGCAACCGGGCACGTCGTGGCGACCACATAGCTACGCGTCGGCCCGGCGAAATGTTTTTCCCCAAACGGAAAGAAGAGGATTTTAGGCCGCCTTTTCATTGCTGGAATTTGCAAGATGTAAGCCTCCATGACTTGTAGCCAAGCAATCCCCAATATCTACCAAAAAACTTTCCGAACTTTGCTGCTAAGTGAGGTTAAAGTGGAGTTTTTAGTATGTTTTCTTTAAAACAACATGGCGTTTGAGTGAATTAAACCCAAATATCATGCCGTTTGCGGGTTATGAGAGGAGCGTCTAGGGCTTATTACTTATAAGTTAACTTATAGCCTGATGCCGAATTTCGTTTATGTTGCGTGCCGTGCGTCCGCCAATTAGTTTACTGTTTCGGTCTGACCTCAGGGGTTAAACAGCGCTACGCGCTACTACTCACGACTACTACCGTACTAGTAATACGTACTACTAGCGCTCAACGAGTACCGATGGACGGGTATAGCTCTAGCTTACTGTCGTAGCCCTAGTTACTAGGCCCCTAGTATAGTACCGGGCGTAGCTCTAGGTAGTGCTGAAGGGCGTCGTTGGTGCGTAACAGGGTACGGCCGATATGGGCCCGAAGGATTAGGAGAACATTGGGCCAATAAAAGCAATGTTGCCTAAACCTAACCCTAACTCTAAACCCTAACCCCAGATCCTAACCCTAACCCTAACCATAACCCTAACCTATTATATTGATGTAATATTATATCTTTATTTATAATTGATGGTAAATGACATTTGCGTTTTAATTGGGACCCCGCCCGGGAACCGACATGTTCTTCTATCCTTGAACCCAGATGTCGTACCCAGATGTACATATATGTATTACACAAAAGTGTACCAGATTGTACTATCAGAAGTGTACCCTAACCCTAACACTAACCAACCTAACCCTAAAACTCTAACCCTAACCCTAAACCCTAAAATACCTCATATAAAATAAAACATATAATCTTATATATAGTAGTAGTATAAGAAATCGAAGCCAAACCAATCGGGAAGGCGCTATATTCTTGCTATGTTATACCGTTTGGGAAAAAAAAATGTTCGCTGGCCGCGCGAATACGGCGAGCCACGTGGTGTGCGTGGCCCGTGCCAGTTTATAACACGTACGCTAATCTGTAGATTACTGCCTGGCAAAGCAGCCGCAGAGCAACAAATACTCGCCCCTGGCCGCCGGCAGCGCGCAACAGCCAGAGCAGCGGCTCATAGTCAGAGGTCTATGTTCCCCAGGGTACTGCCGGGAACGTAACCCCTCGGGTTACGCGTCCGCGGGTATACCGAAACGTACTTGGTCACTATTTGATATGGTTAGGGGTTAGGATTGAGCAGTTAGCGGTTAGGATTAGGCGTTAGTGTTTCGGGTTCAGGTGAGGAGTTAGGCGCAGCGCGACTCCTAGACATCGTGTTAGGTGGAGTAGGCGAGGGTACGTCCGCATATTAGATATAGTGCCAGGGTACGAACCCATTTCCGCTATACCGAACCGTTACCCAGGGTTGACGTTCGCACTAACCCGCGGCGGGACATAGACCCTTCTCAGCGCAAGCAGCAGCAGCAAATGCCCCGCCGTAGCCGATGCCGGCTGGTTAGGTGTGACGGAAAACTGCGCCGACTGTTACGCTTCCCGCTATACGATATCGCGCGCCGCCTACTTCGCCTATCGCGCGGCGAATTCGTATAGCGGGCCCAGCTGCGAAATACTACATACAACCACCGGCGGTCGCGTGCGCCTCAGGTCCCGCGAAGTGGCGCGGTCTTAACCGCTCTGCCGGTCGGGCGAACAGACGCATCTTTTGCGGCCGCAACGCCATCTTGTACCCGGGGGTCTTCCTGGCTGCGGTGCTACCCGCTGCCGCCTGGGTGGGGTAAAATCGGTAGCTACTAATCATGGGGACTTACTGACATAATCGGGACACAAATGAGGAACAATTGGGGTAGAAAATTCAGGACCAATGTAACATTGGCACCAGAATATGAATATTTTTACGACATTCTAGCATGGGGGAAGAAAAAACTGCTTACGGTTAGTGCACATTTATGTGACAGCACAATCCCACTTAGAGTTAGGAACCCCTGGAACATAATAGTTAATATTGGGTTGCGTAAAAGAGATAAAAAGGTTATTAATAACAGCCATGTACGAGATCGGGTTTGCAGTTTTCAGCTTTGAAAACCTCTTGGATAAGCACAATGTTTGTGTTGATTCTCTCGAGTGGATCATATATGCTAAAGCATTCCTGGGGTGTGGTATGACTGTTGGGTAGCCGCCCTAGGGTTTACGGCCAGTGACGTTATGGCACGTACGGGCACGTAAACAGCATGTACGAATGAGTTGCCACTTTCTCATTTGATAGCCTCTTGATAAGACGAATGCAGTCGGTGAACTCTGAGGCTGGTGCCGTTGGCTGATGCGGTTTTAGTACCTGGTTTCGGTTTCACGAAATGAAGCAGACAAGCTGCAGTGAAGCGGGATGCGGCGAATGAGAAGTAGTCGATGCGAGTGCGTTTTCTGTGATGCGGAGCACTGTACAGTCTACGGAGATTGACGGTTATTTTCACGGATTTCTTTGTTCGGGCGAGTTTGACGGGTTGTGACAGGTTTTTGTTCATCTAGCGAACACTCGCCCGGGTATAAGAGATGGCCCTGTGAAAATTCCATCCAGATCGCTTGGGCGGTTTGGCCGCCTATAGGGAAGATACATACATACATACATACATACATACATACATACATACATACATACATACATACATACATACATACATACATAGATACATAGATACATACGAACTCAAATATATATTAGATATGTCCACAAAGGAAAAGCAACAGAGATATGAATGTGTTTTAATGTTTCAATATTTTTTTGGTCCAGTAACATATCATTCGGTCTGGTAAAAATCTATTTTTTACTGGACCGAATGTCCAGTAAAGGATTTTGTCTTTTGGCGAGGACTGCATACTATGGCATTTTCCAGGGAGTAAGCAAAGACAACTTTTTGTGGTTAATAACTTCTTCGGTACGCCAAATAAAGCACATTCTCTGCCGCATAAATGTCTTAAGTTACTATATAAACACTACAATTAAACAGCAAACTATCGCATAAATGTTGAACTTGCTATATTACTCGTCGACGAAGATTGTTTATCAACTTTCAATCGCCATTTTTCGTTGCACAGCGCTAGCGCAGTTCCGGCACTTGTGAGCAGGCACAATGTATTTCCAAGTGGAGGGGTGGGCAGGTTGCACGGGATTGCAAACCGCCATTTTTCGTTGCGCAGCGCTAACCCTTCCACTTGGAAATACATTGTCTTCGCTTACTCCCTGGAAATTGCCATAGTACCCTATGTTCTATAGCCCTGCGGCGGAGCAGAGGGCTAGTATAGACTATATACTACAGTTCTAGAGCTACTGTTGTAGTGAAGTTGTAGTACTAATAGAGTACTAAGTAGAGAAACAATCACATTAAGTCATTAAGACTTTCGTAGTAAATACATTTCGTGTTTATTTACCTTCTTTTTTTTATTGAGACGTTCCAAGTGCTTCACTGCCTGTGCCTTAGCTCCAAGAAACGGTCTTTGCTAGGGTTAGGGTACCTAACCTTGGGATTGTGTTAGGGGACCTGTGACTGTGTATATTGACGTTACTCGTTAGTCGTTAGTCACACAGCCTGGTTGGGTTACCTAAATATACCTGTGCCTTAGCCACAAGTTCCCATCTCGCTTAACACTACGTGGCGAGAGGCTCCTCCGCCGTGTAACTAGTCGGAGAGCCTGGTCGGTTTACCTCAGTACCTGTGCCTGTGCCTGTGGAGTGTGGTTGTGGTCCGTACAATTACCATGAATTAGAATTACGGTACATTACCTAAACAATCAGGTTCCTTTCTGTATGTACTCGACTCGACATCATAAAATCCCAGGTAGTTACATGCTGCCTGGATTTCTGCTTCCATTATTAGGACGTGAACTCTATGACAACAAGTGGTTCAGTTGGTTCGTACTCGGACGAACACGAAAACATCAAAAACCGCGGGAAGCACTTCACGATAGGGAGTCACCTGTCGGCCAAAATAGTAACTGCAACACTTCTATAAGCTATGTAGCTAAGACAAAACGACAATATATTATAACAAGGGCCACGTTTTATCCTAGCTAATAACTCACAATAACAATACTTTACACTAATACATAAGAAACGCATCAACCGATATTTCATATAGACTAACCTTCCTGTAATATTATAGTGGAGAATTTCTAACATGTGGCTCGGTGGCCAAGTGGTAAGGCGTTGGTCTCGTAAACCAAAGATCCAGGGTTCAAATCCCTGCCGGGCCTTTCTAAGTTTTGATGCGACGTTTTACTACAGTTACTAGAGCTAACAAAACTACTACGGTCAGCTGGGGCTACTTTAAACAGCGGGCAACCATAGAAATAGATAAATAACCATCTATTATCTATTTCTAGCTATCTTCTATCTATCTATTTCTATGGGGGCAACATTGAACACCCCGGGCCAAAAAAGATGAAATAAGAATTATAGCTACATGGGCAATCTTATTGACAAAATTATTTTTGCATATTTTCTGTTGACGAATAAAATATTTTACAATGTATTTGAATATTTAATACATGAAATAGGAGTACCGCAGTAAATTGCAAATCGCTGACTTGAAATTGTAAAAAAATTAGCATCCTGCAAACTTTCACAAGTACAGACCACACAGAGGTACACACAATGTTCAAAATAGCCCCTACACGGGGGTTTCTTTGAACAAATAAAAATCAAAAAAAATTATCACATCACTTTAACCAATCTGATAATTTATACAACCATTCCTTTGATTCAAGTATAGCCCCAATATAGCTCACCATTCAAAGATTTCATTATACCATATGATAGCCGCGTTCACACGGAGCGAAGGAACTCGGGTCGAAAACGACCTGTGTCGAATGCGTCCCAGGACGAGCGTTCACACGGACGTTTTCTCGGGTCGAAAACGACTCGAGTTCTGGTTCATTTTTGCCGTGTGAACGCGCGACTCGGGTTGGAATTAGTACGTCACAACATGAAAGTAAAAAGAATAGTTGAAAGTCAGTCAGAAGAGTTTGATTGTTTAATTCGCATTGTTCGCTTGGACGCATTGTATTTTTTTCTCAGCTCACAGCTCGCATAGCGTCGTGTGAACGCTCCCTTCAACGACGCTCCGTGTCGTTTTCGACACGGGTCGTTTTCGACCCGAGTTCCTTCGCTCCGTGTGAACGCGGCTCATATGTGCAATGATTTTTAAAAAAATATCTGAAAAGTGTTCAAAGTAGCCCCAGCTACTACTACGGTACTACTACAGGTTCATTCAGAAAGTAATTTTGGCTCGAAAACCTTCATCGGTGCAAAACAATTCGGCCTGTACCCATAGGAGTTCCCTATTATCTACTCCTGATATATATATATATATATATATATATATTATATACATGATTAGCAGCACTGTTCCTATCACTATATCCTATTACCACTATACTTACTATAGATATATATCCTATTGCCCATGGTGTCGTTTCAGCAAAAATTAATAAAGTTTGTACGTACCTACCTTATTTTGATACTTCGAACTCTACCTGAATACTATGCAGGAGTCATAGCTACCCAATATAAGATCAACCGCTTGTCTCTACGATGTTCCTATGCCAAGATATAAATCGATAAAAATCGAGTACTTCTAAATAATCCTAGCGCCATATCAACCAGTAACACGCCTCTCCCGCGTTTAGTGACTGCATAGATATATACAACAAAACATATGTGTTGTATATATATATATGCAGTCACTAAACGCGGGAGAGGCGTGTTATATTACTGGGTGATATGGCGCTAGGATTACCTAGAAGTACACGATTTTTATCGCTTTATATCTCGGCATAGGAACATCGTAGAGACAATTAATTAAGCGGTTGATCTTATATTAGCTATCTATGACTCCTGCATATTCCGGTAGAGAAGTATAAAATAAGGTAGGTAAACTTTATTAATTTTGCTGAAACGACACCATGGTTTGCCAATTTCAGCGTTGTACGCTCTGGGGTTAATGGGCTCTTGATATTATCGACCCGGAGGTGGCCGACAGTTTCTACAAGATGTACCCAGAAGGAATAATTATAGCCATGAAGAGAATGCAGCCACACTGATTTCACATGTAGAGAACGAGTTATATCTGGACTAGCATCATATTAGGTGGCTGACAATGACTCTAACACAGAACCCTTGCCGTATCACAGGTTTAGGGTAACATGCATGCAACCAGTGAGGCAGCATACCACTATCTTCTGAGTAGAAGATTTCACCGCAATAACAGATTACGTTTCTCGGAGTCGGAGAAAAGAACGCATGCACATTAAAACAATGTTCATGAATGCAATGCTGATACCAATTAGTTGTTATATTTAATTACACTCATCACATACATTTGACAATTTCAACACCTTACCTGTAGATATTCCATAAATCATAGTATCATATGTATCTTACTCCTGATATTACATGTACGTTTAATCATGTGTAACAGCTGATTAGTAAGTCTCAGAGTAAAATCAGACAGAATAAAATTACAGCAAATAAATAAAATTATAACCTGCTAACGTGCACGTTTTACAATTATATAAAACTGATGCTATCCTCTGCCTCTAGCACTTTCATCTCTTTCTTCTTTCATACTTGCAGTTGGAAGGCATTAGCAACTTTAGCAAAATTACAGTTTAAAAAAACAGCGATGTAGTTCGAAGCACTATGAAGTAAGAATTACAGAATTTTTTTTTTAGAGTACTTGAACATAAATTACGGACAGTTGCGGAACCATCTGTACAAAAGATGCATGTCCAAAGTTAGCTGATAAGGGGAGTTGCACAAAACTGTTGTCACAAGTGACAGGGTTTTACTTACACGGCATGACCTAGATCATGGGGTCTGTATGCATGCCCATATTTATATACAAACACAGGTTGACAATGGCTGACAGATACATCTACATGGTTAACAGCTGCATCTACATAGTTGACTGTGGTTAGCAGCTGCATCCATGTGGCTGACAGCTGCATCTACATGGTTAACAGCTGCATCTATGTGGCTGACAGATACATCTACATGGTTAACAGCTGCATCTACATAGTTGACTGTGGTTAGCAGCTGCATC